ACTTATGCTTCTAAGCATTTAGTTCTGTATTCTCTGTGCTATCAAAGATGCTCACTCAATCCCTTTGAAAACGTTTGTCCTTTTTTCACAGAAACTCAAGTCATAAATATGATGAATGATTGTCATATTAGTAGTACATTTCCACATTAGACATAGGGGGAAAAAGTGACATAATTTAATTGTAGTTTTAACAAGCATCTATCTTAAGGTGCAAGAGTCACTTTGCTATGTCGGTTATGATATAATTAAGAAATAAATCTTGGCTTGGGTCCACTTGGGTCCCCTTTCCATACTTGCCACTCAGTGTCCCTTGAAAATAGGAAGAAACTGAGCAAAGCATTCAGTTTAGAACTATGACACTAATTTGCTGGCATCCGTCTTCTGATGAAGAGATGTGCTTTGAAACATCTGGCTAATGAGCTGCTTGCTACCTACAACTTTGGTGAAAGTAGAAGATAGCTCACCAAACCTCTATAAATGTTTCCAGGTTTTCTTTTTCTTTTTACAAAGATATCATGGCACATATCTTATGATACTTACATATTTTGACTTGGTTTTGTTCCTTGTGTTATATTTCCTTTAAGTATAATGAGGTTTATTCAGTTCACTCTTAATGTTTGCTATTCTCAATTTTTATGCCCATTATTTATTAGGTTGAATGAAAAGTAAGTCCTTTGAATGTGTATGGCTTTGTGTCTGTGTGTACATAAATTTACATGCACACACACCTACACAAATGTAGTTTTGTATCTGCATGAGTAGACAGCAACATGATAAAGTAAAATATGAGGAAATGTATTTCAAAGGTTCTCAGAAATGGCAACAACTCTATAAACTTCAAAGTCTTCATGTGTCAACTGAGAATAATACTGAACTCCCTTTTAATATTTGAGAAGTTTTATACACTTTGAGGATTTAGTCAGATGAGTAAAACTAGTTAGTGAGATATAAAGTTAGATACCATTACTAATATATACCAGAAAAGCAGTTTGAAAACGACTAATTACAAAGAACATATGAACGTTCCAGTCATATGGCCTCACCTGAGAAATAATGCACCTTTTTTCAGAAGAAGTTGAACCACTTTATCATGTCCATTTTTTGCTGCCAGGTGGAGAGGGGTCATTCCATGAAGGTCGCCTTCATTCAAGAGCCTCGTGTCGCTTATGTCCTGTAGGAGCCTCTGACAGGTGTTGATACGCCCATAACTTGAAAAAGATGGGTTTCATATTTTCATAGTGGATGTTAAACAGAAAGAAGATATACTTACATGTTGTGCAGACTGACCCTCACCTGGCTGCAAAATGCAAGGGTGACTTTTTATCTTTGCTTTTGGAATGAATGGATACGTTGAAACCAAGCAAGTTATTCACAGAGACAGGGACCCCCTGTCTACATGCATAATGCAGAGGAGTACACCCATCATTGTCTTCATCCATGACCAGCTCCTTGATATGTTGCATCTATTGGAAAAAATACACATTCTACATATAATTCTCCTCTTATGCTAATGCAGAATTTTGCCAACTATTCCATACATATTATTTTCTAAAAAGGATCAATGTATATTCCTGAAGGAAAAAATTATAAACAGCAAATTAAATTATAAACTAGAGCAAATTAAAGATGGATGAATTCTTATGCTGTATCCCTTTATAATGTACCAATGTTGCCAAATTAAAGGCTCTGAGAAGTCCTAAAAGTAGGAAAATGCAAATAAGAGTTTTATCAACGTTTTCCTGACATATTTGACCACACTTCCCTCTCTGACCCTCTTTTTATTGTTTCCCCAAATAACAATAGTTTTTTTGTTGTTATAAACAAGAGTTTAATGTGCTATGTTGGGCAAAAAGGGATAGGATGTTAAAAATAGAACTTCATATGTTCTTTTATAGTAAAAAAGAATGGCAATTAAGACATTTCATCCAATCATTAAGCATATTTGTTATTTT